TGATGGAGTAGGAGAGCCACAATCCATAACGTTCAAGTGCTTTCCAAAGCCAATTACAAGTCCCTACATTCACAATATCCTCAGTTTATCTGGCCCATTCCTGGAATTGGCTCAGATTGGCCCAAGAGGCAATTTTTTCCCTTACATTTTCATTCTCAGCATTCTGAGTTGCAAGCTTTCAGGCACTCCTTCTGCCTGACCGCCATCCCATGAAGGTCCACCATTGCCACAGCCCAGTGATATCAGGCTTTCCCTATTCAAACAACTCTTAAGATCTCTAGTTACAGTGGAGAAGCACCTTCCTTCCCGGGAAGGATAGAAGCAGCAAGCTTCATCCTCCTTCCATTGCCTTCCTGAGGGATTTCCACCCACCTGGTCATAAGGGGCATGTGGGCAGCAGAACATCTCAAGCAGTTTCCAATGGCAGACCCAATGCCTGAGGCCAGGCTGTCCTCTCTGTGTATGCGAGGGTCTCTGGAATCTCCTAGGTTGGGGAAAACACACCAAGATTGGGACTGGGGTAAACAACCCTCATGCTATATTTGGGTACTGATAATGCAAACCACAGACAAACATAGAACAAGGACAAATCTGTTGTCAGTAAACCATGCAGGCACTCAGGTCTTAATGCTTCTTTTTGGTTTAGGCTCATTAATGTCCATTTTGCTGTTGAATGAGTAATCCCATCTCAACTCAAACAGGCAGTTCTACCCCTCCCTTCTACTAACACCAATGTTCACACACACAAAAAAGAAAGTCACAGCCTGGAGTTGGTGTGCTATACAGAGTATAACCAGGTGGAAAGATGGGAGCTGCTTGGATTTTGAGTAACAGCCCAATAATGTTTCAATGCCGTCACCACCTGGGAGGATGAATTAGCAACCCCAGTTACATAGTGGGTCTAGCCTTTATCCAAAAAAAGAAGCCAAGGGAGTTCCATAGCTGCTTCAGAAAAAGGAGGATCCCCCTAAATATCGGGGTCTCAACCACTGATGTTACCCATATTCGAAGGCCAAATGAGTGACTTCCGAAATGTCCACGTCCCCAAATGTGGAGGTCCCAAATGTTGGGATTCAAAAAATGGAGCCATCAAATACAGAAGTCCCGGAGGAATGGGGTCCCCCAAATGTTGGGGTCTCACGTGTTGGAGGCAACAAATATTGAGGGTTTGCCAATACAGAAGCACCAAGGTGCTTCAGGTACACTTCAGGTCACTCTCCATGGGTTTGAACCCAAAATAAAAATGTGAGGTTAGGATTTCAAGGATGCTGTAGCATTGCTCATACAATTTGGTAGCTTTCCACAGGCTGAAACTCTCCAAACCACAATGTTTGGGCAGGATGGTGTCTCCTAAGCTCTCTGCCATTCTCAGCACTTCTGAAACTGTAAAGACAAAGCTCTGTACTGATGCTGTGTAGGCTGAAAGCGCTGGACAGCAAATGATGCTTCTGCCCTAGAGGAATCCAGACCTCCTTGTGCACCCTTCTGATGGGGTAAATCACTGCTTAGGCAGCAAGAACTGCTCTGCTGGAATTTCTTGCAGTCAGCAGAAAGCCATGATTTATAACAGCTGATGGGGAGGAGGAGACATGGTTCTCCCAAAGGAAACCCCATTTGACAATGTCTCCTTCCTATACTTCCTAACAGGGACTCGGTGGGGGATGACCAACGCTGGAAAAATTTCACTAATGTACCAAGAAAAGAATTATGATTATTTGCTGGGCTTCCATCCACCATGGGGAATTCTGGCTTGTGACATCACCCCATTGTTCCCATCGGTGCCAAAAACACGCTGGGATCCCATCTCCTCAATGGTTAAAGAGCTTTCCTGTTTGCTCGTTCCTGGTTTCCAAACAGCGTTTCATCAATGCTGCACGGGACGTCTCTTTTCTTGAGCTGCAATGTCCCTTTCGTCATGTCTGCCTGGAATTCTTTACAGCGGAGTGAACAATGTATTCCTACAGTCAGAAACAAAAGGGAAAAAATAACTGCAGGAGGCAAAGCCCATCTTTGGCATCCAGGACCTTGTGTACGCCTTTGTTCCTTCTTTGGAAGCCTTGTTTGTGCAACACGGACCCGTCCCTCTGCTGGAGCCCGTTGTTTTTCTTAGAGATTTCAGTGTGGTGATAATGCCAGGAGTGCTGGCTGCAGGAAGCAGTGTCCCCTGCTCCTTATCAGGGGAACAGCAGAAGCAATGCAGTGTCTCCGTGGGCAGGAGGTCGCTGCTCTCAGTCCAAGCAGAACCTCTCAGTGCAAAGGGGAATTGAACACTCAAGCTAAAATGAACAGCTGCTACTGGAACAGCGATGGTTGCAAGCCCAAGCAATAACATGCGGGGATGCTTGATGCTGAAACAGCTGTTTCCCCATGTCTAAAAGTTCTTCTTTGCAAGCCTACAGGCAAATTGCTCCATAAGAAGCCATTGGTTTTTAACACAGAAATTCTGCAGCACTGGGCAAAGCCCTGGGAGCTCTGTTCCAAACAGTCCTGGTCAGTGTAGTCCCAATCCCACCTCCCCTCCACAGTGTTCCCACATCCCTGCCACAAGTGGAGACCTTTACCCACAGCCCCACATCCTCTCAGACCTTTGAAGCACTGGTGCCAAACATCCCCACACATGCTGGTCAGGTTTGTGCCTGCTCAACGCAGCAGGGTATTTCCTGGAGGGAAAAAAAAAGAGTTCAAACTCCATTCAATAGGCATATATGAACAAGAGGGTGTAACATTTGCTCCATTTTCTCCAACAGCGTAAATCACTCTTGGGATTGATGAGAAACGAACAAAACAAATGAGAGATCTTGGATGAAAGGTCTGGTTTGTAAAGATATTTTTGCAGCTGGCATTAAAGGTAGATACCCAACAGATAACCCAGCACTTGTCTTCTTCTAGCAACAACTACAAGACCTTAACAGATATTTACATGTTGCTTCAGGTGCTTTTTGGAAGTGTCAGCTAATTGAGAGAGCTGTGGCCACAAAGGGAGGCTGGGAAGGGAAACAGCTTGAACACAGATCTCCAAACCCTCAGGTTAACTTGAGACTGTTCACCCTTCCCAGAGGCATGGGAGACCCTCACGCAATACACTTGTCTGCCTGATCCTTTCAGTAAATGTACCCTTGAAAGTCAAAGGACTGCCTGAATGGCAGCAGCACCCTTTCTAAGAAAGTGCCCCTTCAAGAATAAATGATGTCATTCACTCCCCAGCCTTTTTTCTGTGTGCACAACTGCTGCGTTACCTTCCCCACGTCGAAAATATCTCCTTTCATCCCGCAGTGACCAGAATGAGGATGGTAGAAATTGGAGCCAGGAGAGTTCAATTATATCATTGGATTGGCATCTGGGATGACATGTAGTATCTCGGCTCAGACATAAGTCTGCAACTTGGCAAAGCTGGAACATGGGCTGTAACAGGTAACGCTGCTATTGTATTTCCCTATTGTCTTCAGAATGATTGCTGCATTGGTACAGAGGTCAAAAACTTCCCTCCTTCTGCTTCTGCTTGTTTGCTGCTCGCACAGAAGTGTTATTTTATCAATTACAACACCGCTTTCTTCTTAATTTTTTTTTTAAATAGTTTTCATTATCTCTGTTTTTCTCTGCTTAGCATTTCCTTTATATATTGTAGCTGCAACTCCAGCTGTATTTTTCATCCTCCCTGTCCTCCTGTCCCCTCTCTTCATTCCCACTCAGTAAACAGAGCTCTCTGCATTATCTGTGCTCTCACACGTGCCATCACAACCAAAGCAGTTCGGTGAACAGAGAGACAATTTCCCCAGATCCTATTATTTCAGTCCCACCATGGGATTCCCCCTGCACACAATGACTGTATGAACACAGAGAGGGACTCACCCTGCTGCTTGGTCAGTGTGGATGTTAAAACCTCTCATTAGTGCTTGCAGGAATGCAATCCCAACCCTTTTTCCTTCCACGAGATGCAGCCAGGGCAGAATTTATCACTCAGATAAAATCAGTTCTCCTCACTCCGGCCCATTGCATTTTTTTTGTTTCTCTTCCCACTCCTCCGCTGTGCTCCACACTTTGTATTGGACCTCACACCAAATCACATTAACACACTCCACCTCGCATCCTTTCCCGATAATAAATCCCTTCCCGCGCAATAAAAACACTATAAAACAGCTCGTCGTAAACAGATGAAAACACACTCCCTTTCCTAAGAAGTCTTGAGAGAGTCAAGTGCAGGAGCAGTTTGTGTCCGTGTTTTGTTTTTTTTTTCTTTTTGCCTCTTGACCTGCTTTTGCAGGTCCCAGTCCCACGCCATTCCCAAGGGCCGTGCAGCCAGGAGCTGCTTCTGGCCCACGCGGTGCCCCAGGGGGCTCCTCCGAGGGCAGTTTCCCAGTTGTTTATTATTCTTTTGGGGGCTATTTTAATTTCTCGTGCCCGAAGGGTTGCGGCAGCCCGGGGTCAGCCTACGGGGAAGCTGCGGAGCCCGCGGGCAGCCGCATGCGTGGGATGGGAGGGCAGTAGGAGACCGTTCTGCGGGCACCGCTCCCGCTCCATCTGCCGGCAGCGCCCGCGAACTGCTTCTGCCTCCACCTGCAGCACGCGTGGGATCCATCCCGACTCGGGACTCATCCCCACCAACCCATACGGGAAACCAACCCAGTTGCACACACGCACAGCAGCGTGCCCCAAGTGCCCCGCGCTCCGAGCATCCCCGGCGGGGGGAATTTCTCCCCGCACCATCCCCGTGCGGGACGGGAACCACACGCGTGTTCGAAGCTTGGGGCCGGAGCCGAGCTGCAGGACGGGGCCTCCCCGCAGTGGGGCGGACCCAGGGGATGCCGCCTCCTTCCCCTCCACGCGTGCCCGAGCCCCGATGTTTCCCCCGCGGGGCTCCACGCTGCGGGGCGGAGCGTGGCCGTCACGCGGCGGAGCGGGGCTATAAAGCACCTGCCAGGGGCCCGCTGCCTTCAGATCATCGCTGCGGCTTCGGCTGAAACGGTGCACGGAGAAGAGAGGAAGGGGGAAAAAAAATAGAAGGGGGAAAAAGAATCATAGAAAAAAAAAAAACTCCCAAATCGAAACCTTCCAGCTCTCTCCGCAGCCATGCCCAGCCATCCTGCCGGTGCTGTGCTGCTGGCGCTCGCCCTCTGCGTCCTCCTGGAAGACGGTGAGCCCCGGGGCTTTGGGGCTGGGGGTACAGCAGGGGGTTGGGAGTAGGGGGCACTGCGGGGCAGTTTCTGCCAGGCTGCACCTCTCTGCTCTGGAATCACCGCAGCGCTCGCCGGAATGTGCTCCGGTGCTCCGAACCCAACCTGCAACTCATCCCTTCTCCTTCTGCTGCAGGTATGGGGCAGCCTCCCCTGCAGTCCCACCTCGGCGCGGCCGCGCACCTGAGAGCCAAGCGGTGCTCCTGCAACAGCTGGCTGGATAAGGAGTGCATCTACTTCTGTCACCTGGATATCATCTGGGTCAACACACCTGGGTGAGTGTAGGTTTTTTTTGGGGGGTGGTTCTGGGTAACTCGTTGCCTTTCTTATCCAGGATGGGGGGGAGTTAGAGGGAGGTGAGAAAGGAGGTTCATGCAGCACCTGCACCACAGAGCATTGAGAGTTCAGCCCTTTGCAGCTGCTAGAACACAGGCTGTGCTTTGCTCGGGAGTTCCAGCATAACCCAAAGGGAGGGGGATGAAAGCTCACGGTGCTGCCTCCCCACGGTTTATCTTTATTTGAGATTTGTACTTCTGCAAGACAAAAGCAATAGCAAGATGTTATAGCTGCAAGCCAGATAAGTTACATTACCCTCTTGCAAACTGTAACTGCCTGCTGGTTGCCAGCATTGTTAATGAGACAGTGGTGGGTTGGCACTAACGTCCCGTGGCTGCCAAGTCCTGCCCTCAAGAATGCTAAAGCAGCTCTCTGTGCAGTTTCAGACCAATGGCCATCGCTCTGTAGCAAAACACATGTACTCAGGTGTGGTTAAAATCATGCTCACTAACGTGCAATTACAACTCGCTGCTTGCTCAGAGCATAGTTTCAATCACTGCCAATCCTAAACCCTCTGGGAGGAGAGATTGTGATCAGAGATGGAGCAGGAATGTGCACACGCTAAGAGCTCGGGAAGCATGCTGTGATCAGGAAGACCTGTTATGGCCCTGAGGTGTCTTCATCCGTACTATGTCCCATGCATTACAATGGCTGGGATCTGTACTATGTCCTATGCATTGCACATTCCATGTGCTGGTGGCTGGTGAGCCCAGCCCGTGCAGCAGCCCTTGCATGGGTGCAAGGAGAGAAAATGCGACTGGGAGGGCTGGCACGGCCATCTCCCTGGGAGGGGCAGAGTAAACAGTAGGTGGGAGAGGAGCTGGAGTTTAAAGGCTTGGAATTATCGGTGGCCTTTTCACCTTATGTCTATAGATGAGTCTTTTATTATCATGGCGCTGGCTTGGCTGCCTCCCAAGGCTGTGTTATAAACCTGCTGGCTGATAACAAGCGAGCAGCAGCACTGATTGCTCCTCTTTCCAACAGGCACACTGCTCCCTATGGCCTGGGCAGCCCGCCACGACGGCGCAAGAGATCGCCTGGCAGGTGCGAGTGCTCGCGCTCCAGAGATAGCATCTGTGCCAACTTCTGCCAGGAGGAGCCCAGGTGAGCTGGAGGGGCTGGGGATGCTCCCCTGGGTGCTTCAGGGAGAGGGAAGTGGAGGCTGGGGGTTGCTTCGGGATGCTGGCATCTCCTGGGTGCTGGGAGCTTATATAGGGCACTCTGTTGTCTCACTTTAGCCAGAGGTATAGAGGACTGTGTACATTCTGGGGAGATGAGGGGAGAAGTTATTGTACAGATGTAATTAGTTTCTTATCAAAGCAATAGTCAAAACCTCCCATCGTTAAGTTGACTATGAATTGAGCGAGGCAAGAGGACAGCAGTAGAAGTGAGGCATAGATAACTTTCAAATAGCTGCAATTAACCCTTCAAATCGTGCACTGAACTTAGTCTGCCCCCAGTGATGTTAGAGCAGCGTTCCCCTGGTGCCTGCATGCAGGTGGCTCATGCACCTCTCCTTGCTCATCAGGTACCTCCAGAGCCTGAGGCTCCCAACGAGCTCTGGAGCATCGACAAAGGCTCCACAGAGCAGCGATGTGAAGCCTTCCCAGCACAGCCTGTTGAGAGCCCTCAGGTGAGTGTGCCACTGAAACCCACTCTGAACTTGGGGTTGGACTTGATGATCTCCAGAGGCCCTTTCCAACCTCTATGATTTTGTGATTCGATGTGAACTTCCCTTGTAAGCAATGTAAAAATTTGGGGTTGTGACCTCAGTAGTTGCTGCTTGGGTTGCTGGCTTGCCTCCTTTTAATAACTCAACTGAGCAATTTCTGCTGTGTTGAACTGAAGGCTAACAGCTGAGGGAACCAGGGATTTTCCAGTACTAAAGCAACATTACATAATATAATTTTTGGTGGGGAAGTTCTTCTGATATGGGGTGGGAAAAAGGGTGATGTGTAAGAAGGAAAGAGATGTCATCCCATAGGAAAAGGACAGACTGGGGGGCAGCTTTGGATCAAAAGAGATCTCTCTTCTAACATCCCATCACTGAACTGTGGAATTCAGTGCTGGAAGAGCTTCCAGAAATCTAAACAAGTCAAAAGGTGCCTGCAAATTGAGAGAGAATTGGTCCATTGGTGGCAGTTAAATCAGATCCAAGGGGAGCAGTTTCTGAAAGACGGATGTGGGGAAGCATCAGTTGTATCATCCCAACCAGGTGGATCAGTGCTGTAACTTATTACAGCTGCAGCTAGGGATTTCTACTCTTCCACCCCTTCTTCTGCCTGAAAAAAGAAAACTACAAGAAAACAAAACAAAAGCATCAACCCAAAAGTTATTGACCAAACCCAAGGCACCAAAAATGACACTAATAACAAACAACCCTACAACAAAACAAGAGCCAAAGCGGTGACTGGTTGGTAAATGGCACAATATATGCTACTGCCAATAGGTAAATGACATAGTATAGGCTACTGCCAATAGGTAAATGGCATACTGTAGGCTATTGCTGAGTAGGAAGATGGATTGATGAGTGAACATTTTGTGTCTCCTGGTTGCAGGGACCTTGCTGTCTCCCGCCTGCAGTTTGGCAAGCAGCAGCACCGTGCTCAGCGGAGTGCTCCACCAGCAGTTTTGCCTTGGAAGAAGAACATTTGGAAGAAGAAGAGATAAGGAGCAGGCGCAAATCAAGTTTGCCAGAAGAATCTGGAGTTCCGTGGGTGCCGCTAACTCCGCTGTTGGTAGTTAGAGCTGAAGGAAAGGCCATGAGTGGAGGGGGGAAGAAGTGGAAGTCTCCATGCTCCCATTGCGTGAACGAGTACTGCATGCACTCCAGAGACTGTTATAAAGGGAAATCAGTGTCTCTCTATACAGTCATAGACGTGTCGTGGAGCTGAATTGTGCCTTTTTGGATCAGGCAAGGGTCTTGCTGGTAGAGCACTTGCTTCACTCCGCACTGGAGCCCAAGGCAGACACTCAGCTGCTGCAGGTGGTTGAATCACCAACAAAACCCAAACAGCCACGTGCCGTCCAGACATGGCAGCATCGAGTGCCTGCATCACTGGTCTGCTCTGCCCTTGGACCGTGTCTGAGCGTGGGTCCACTCGGCCCTCCCTGACATGGTCTGGCTGCTGTAGATGGGGATAAGCTGCTTCTGGGCCCAGCGTTGCACTTTTTTCACTTATCAGTGCGATGTGCATATGAATGAGACTCCTGTGGTCAAACAGTTCCATGTGTGTATATATATATATATATATATATATATATATATATAAGTGTATCATCTTAAAGCCCAAGAGCCATCTGAATGGTCAGTGGCATTCTTTGGCTGAGAAAATCACTGGAGGGCCTTCTGGGTCTTGTTTAGGTGGATGATAGCTCTCTTCAAACCCAAGCATGGCTCCTGCCTCCATGCAGAGCAGAGCAGGGTGAGATGCTCATGTGCAGCTATATCTCTGCAGCAGTTTCTGGCCCTGCCAGGCTGCAGCCCCACAATGGAGCCTCATGGAGCCTGGGGAGGCTCGATCAGAGCCAAGCTGCTGGTCTGGATGGGGTCAGTGCTGGGAACCTGGCTTGGGACACGCTCCCATAGGGGTAGGGTTCCTCAGTTTTTCACCCCATACCCCAGCTTGCTCTCAGCTTTGCCTGAAGTGAAGGGTTAGGGGCAGAGAAGATGGGTGGTGGGAGAATGACACGCAAAGGCTTGCTTGCTGCTTCACTTAGATCAGATTTCTGAGTTGGACCCTATATAATAAATAAGCAGTGTGTGCACATCGCTGCACATCGCTGTAAGTGTAACCAGGATAGAGAATGAGTTAGGCAAGGGGCAGCCAGGTGGGATTAACGTGCAGGAAAGGATCAGCAGGAAGAGAGCACAGCACTGTCTGCACAGTTTTAGGAGAAAGGGTTGGACTTAAACCCACACAAATGATGGATGCTTCACCAGGGGCTGCACAGTGCTGCTGGCTCAGAGGAAGGAAGGAATAATTTGGGGAAAAACACAGAGCCCAAGAGCTGGAAACCCATCTTGTAGGCAAACAGTCTCAAGGATCTGGGGCTGTATTGCAGATGCACTTTTGCTTGCTTGGGCAGATTGAACTTCTGTTATAAATTGTGGCTGTGGCTGTTGTCTGGTTAGTGCAGGTAAATTACTGCTGTCGGGTCCCCCTTGCTGCCCGGTCCAGCATTACACATGAGCATTGAAAAAGATTGCTTGAGATTGGTGGTGGACCAAAACCTGTGGTTGTCTCAAGTGTAGTCCCATCAGGCATACAAAATACTTCCTTGATTTTGCTTTAAGCCTTAGAGAGCAGAGCAAAGGTGAGACCGATTGATTGTAATGTCAATGAAACAACCGACCGATCATTTTGGTCCCCAAAACTGCAGGAAAACTTTTTTTTTTTTTTTCTATTTGACCTTCTGAAGGTTTGAGTCATTTGGGAAAAAAAAAATATATATAAATTAAAGATAAGTAAATCCTGAAAGGGTTTGTTCCAAAGGAAACTTTGCACATGGTTTAATGTGAGCCTCGTAATTTAAAATAAAACTACTGCTGTAAAATACTATGTATATCTCCTCGTGTGTGTGATGTCTCATCTTTAGTGTGACCGACTGCACACATGCTGTATGTAGCGTTCTGACATCTGTATATTTATTTAAATCTATTGGTTTTTTAGATGGCAATTTGCAAAAAAGATTTAATTTGTAATAAATAATGGCAAAAATCGATGCCCTTTTTTTTCTCCTATTATTTTGTTGGGGTGGTGATGGGTGGAGAAGAGCAAGAAGGCAGCGGGACAAAAGCACTGTGGCAGTGAATGGGACAGAGGAGCTGGGTAGGAATGGGGATGCAGTGCTGAGCACAGCTTGAATCCCTGCTCTGTGTGTCCTGTTAATGTTCTCTCATGGATGAGCACTTTGTTGCAGATCATCTCAGCAGGTCCAACTGCGGCTGTTAGCACTGCAGGGACAAAGCAGTCCCACCCCCTCTGCAGCCCCATCAACTTTGAGATCTGAGTTTGGGATTTGTTTTATTTTTCCCTCAATCCTTTGTTTTCTCAGTTCTTTTTTTTTTTTTCCAAGTACAGTTAAAAGGCCCTGATCCCATTAAAGCTGTGCCTGAAGACCACGTCATAGATTACTCTGGTGTAGTTAACTCAGTGAATTTCATGGTGCAGCTGTGAGAAGGAAATAAAGAAACATTATCATAACAGCCAGCATTGTGCTTGCTGCATGCCCAGCAGCTCTAAGTTCGTTGTGGGTTTCTATGCCTTTCTGGGATTGAAAGTTTGGGGAGCAACAGCCCTGCCCTTTCCTACTGCCCAAATTCCTTGGCTGAGCTACAGCCAAACTCAACCCTATGACCTGGTGTTACAATGTGCAAAAATCAGATTTTTTCGGATTTTTTTTTAATGATTTTATGACAAAAAGGTGCCTGGCAATGGGCTTCAGTTCCCTGTGTATAAAATCTAAGGTGTGTGTTCGGAGTAATTTCCAGAGTGACCTGGTTGGGCTGAGTCCAGGTGGTGTGAATGAGGAAGCTGAGGGCTGCTGGACACTCATTCATTTCCCAGGAAAGATTTCTCATCATTTGGAATGTCTATTGCCCAGCCTTGGGCCCAGCCTTTTATTTGTCTTTCTTTAAGTCACAGGAGAAATATGACCTTAGTCAGCCTGGAAGCAGTTGCCTTTCCCTGCTCATAGAGGATGAAACCATCCCATCTGCCAGGGAAACAGCACTTGTGGAGCATTGCCTTTGCTGGAGAGGAGCCCATGGGATGCTCTCTGCAGCCCTGATGCAGGGTGTGGGCTAGAAGAAAGGAGTGAGAAATTTTGGACCAAGCTATCCGAGGTTATTTTTTCTATTTTTTCTGCTTAAGATCAATAAATAGAGAAAAATAAAAATAAAAATCCATGTGGGGCTGAATGATGGAGAACACGTGAGTTTCCCAGAAGGAAAAAAGCAGAACAAAGGCACCACAGGCCAAGCATCCAGAGGAGTACCTCAATTCCCTGAGCACAGAACCTCAGCAAAGCTCCTCACTTGGATCTTACGTGAGCCCCTCATGTGTCCCACCAAGTGCCAAGGGACCACTGCAGCCTGGCAGCAACCCCATGGCATTGCCTGTACCAGTGCCAACATCTGTACAGAGCCCTGTCCTTTGGGTATGGTTTTAATTAAAAGAGCTAATTAAGCATCACCCAAGGACAGGAAAGAAGGGAGACATTTGAGAGCATCTTAATTAGGATGTAAAGGGAGAAGAGAGGACTGTTCATTCTGAGATTATTGAATTCGATGATGAAGATCAGCTGAAGTGGATGGAAGGAGATATATTTTATCAGTTTTCATACATAACAGCCAATAACAAGAGAGAGGAAAATCCAGAAAGCAGGCAACTTCCAAAGCCAGTTCTACATGTAAGGGACGGGGCATCTTTTCTACAAAACAACTTTTCAGTTCAGCAGTTCTTCATTCATTTGACAATTCCCATAAAAGGGGAATCCTGGTGCCCTGCACGGACCTCATATTTTTTCTGCAGCAGGAGTTCCTAAAGAAGAGCCCTTTTACAATGATCTGTTCCTTTTACACTGCAGAGCTGTTCTGTCCTCATTAGGGTAGGCAGTACTTTTTCAAATTTGTCTGCATCTCACATTTGTTGAACCATTTGGTTTTGCTCAGGAGAAGATGTGTTGACACATGCACGGAAAGATGCTTTGAGTGAAGTGCATTTCGGTGAGTGCCTGTTCCATGTCTTGGCCAGTCAATGCCTACATGGAAAGAAGAAGCCATCCATCCACACACGAGATCTACTCTGCTAAAAGCTTTCCCTGCCTGGCAATTTATAATTTTGTTCTGCTTTGGATCTCTCTGTAGAGAAGCCTTATGAAGTAAGACCTAGAGTAGGTCACTTGGACAAGGGACACTGAAAAAATGAGTGATGGGTGACTCTTTCCTATGGGTCAGCAGCTAGTTACCCTGTGTTTGGTTTCAGCACATCTGGCCGATGGCTTCACAGGGGCTGCCCAGCAGTATGGATCTCCCAGCAGCTGGGCCTCCATCTTTACAATTTGATCTGTTGTAGAAGCGACTACAGGCAAGGCTGCAATGCACCAAGGCAGGTATTCTGCAGGAGGTCTTCTGCCTGTGGAACATCTCCTGTGTGCTGTAATGTCAAGCTCAGGATAATTTAATTAAATGAAACAGGGGCTCCTCTGCATCATCCTCCACTGAGAGCAGCATTCAGGATTTCCAGCTGGCTTGGCCATGGCCATGGCACGTCCTTGTGGTGTGGCTCACACCCTTCAGATTGAGATAGAACATGACACGCTGCTGGGCAGTCCTTGCCCAATGCTGTGTTTAAAGTTCCCAAATCTTCTCTCTCACACCAGTATCCTTGGGTGTGAAGGCTGTTGATTGATGGGTGGTCTTGAGTAGACTGGAGTGAGGAACAGCCAGATGCACAGTGGATGCCAGCTCCATAACCAATGCCTTCTGCCCCAGGGCAGTTCTGTGGTCAGCTGCATCCAGCACCTTTCTGGGGGTCAGTTCAGGCTTAGGGTTGAAAGGGATCCCTCATGTGGGGTTTCAAGCCCTTGGCTTTCCATGTTCAAGCCTTTTGCCCTGACACTCGCAGCTCTTCCTCCAGCTCTCTCCATTGCCCTGTCTGGTCTGATCCAGGAAACAGAGAAGATCCAAAGTTTAACTCTTCCTCACAAACTCTAGGAGAGAATTGGGTTGGGAAGCAGGAAGTGGAGAGGCACAAAACTGTTGTGTTAAGCACGCTTCCATCTGCTGCACGTTCCTCTGACACTCAACAGGAGCATTTTGCTGCCTCATCCTTTTTGAAATCCTTTCCTCAGCCTCACACCCGCTCACTGATGAGTAATTGGGTGCCTCTCCCCACATAACTTCTGTAAGACCTTTGAGGCAACCTTACAGCCACTCCCTTGTCCAAAGGAAACTGCTCCTCTGCACAGCACTGCTCCACCAGCTTGTCCTGCAAAGGAGAAGGTTTCACTGAGCTCCCCTGATGGAGGGGTTTCCTAAGGCCACCAGGTCAATCTAACAACCTGCAATGGCAAACCTGCACTCCTCATCCCTCATTGGCCACTGACTGGCTCTTGTGCTAGGCTAAACCTTGGTGGATGCATTGAGCTGGTAGAAATCCAACTCAGAAGACAAGGAAGGTGTTTCTCGGGCTCAGTGACCTTAGTTGGGTCAGACAAGTCTGGAGCTGAAAGATGAAGCTCCATGAGCAGCTGAACGTC